GTTGCTCCAGACTACGCTTTGGAAATCGGGAAAGTGTGGTATGGAGCAATGCCAAATTCTAGTGGTGCAATGATGTGGCATCATCCTAGATATTGGATAATATGGATCAATGTTGAAAGCATTGCTGCCAGCACTGGTACCAAAGAAAATTAGTGTTGTTTTCTCAGAAAATGCCTATGTGGCAGCACCGATTTGAAACAAAAAATAAGAGAAAACAATGCTTACAATGCCACATACCTAGCACTATTTTTGTGAGAAAATGGTGCGATGTTCCTAGCATTGATGCCAAACACCTACTTTGTCAATGCAGCTCAACCACTGCATGAACCCTCCCAAATGGGCTCTTTATATGGTCTAAAAGTCAATTTGTCTAAAGTCCCAATAAAATGCCTAAGTGGAACACACACTTATATTTTTATTTAACTTTACTGGGGTTAATATGAAAAAATGGGCAGAAAAACTTGAAATAATATATAACCTTCATTTTTTTAAACTTTAGTGGGACAATTGACCCCACTCAAATTCATGTAGCTCCACCCCTGCTTATAGACTTATATTTTATGAATTCGGATTTGGTCCTCACAAGATCGTGCTCACACCATCCTCACAGCCACTTGCAATTGTGCATTGGGAATATCTTCTCATAAATAAAAACATAAAGTATGAAGATATTCCCAATGCATGACTATAAAAGGGTGTGAGGACAGTGTGAATACAATTTTGTGAGGACCAAATCTGATCTCCTATTTTATGGATGTGTGTAAATTATATCATTTAATCTTAATTCTTTTTATTATTTATAAAATTTAATTATTATTTTTTTTTTTATTTTTGATGCCTTGTTTCACCTTGAGGCTTATAGCTTATGCCTCACCTTTTAGAGCCACTACGCCTCAACTATATCTTTGGTCTTTTAAAACCTTGTCAGCAATGTCTTCTTTTGTTCTTCTATTACCGTTTTTATAATCTTCCTTTCAGGCTAGATAGCAACTAGGAGGTGGATAAAAAACAATCAGAGTAAAATGAAAAGTGTAGGATTGATAGAACTTTGCAGAATAGACATGGATTTAGATATGTTAATTTGTAATCAAACTTGTTGATTCTGTAGATTTAGGGGTGTCAACGGTATTTGAAAATCCGATTTCGAATTCGAGATTCGACATAATCGAATTGAATTCGGATAATTTGAATATCTAGTCGGTCGAATTCGGATATCCTATTCATACCGAATAGCTAATTGGATTTGAATTGTATGACCTAATTTGATTTGATAAATATCCGAATTTGACTGATTATTTAATTCTTATATATAATATATAAAATTTTTAAATGTTTTATATAATTATATATAATAATTAACTTATATAAATAATTTATATATTTATATACTTTATATAAATAAAATATTTATTTTGTATATTTATTAATTGCCTAAAATAATTAATTAGTCGAATTCAAATTAAATAGAATATTTAAATATTTAATCGGATTGATATTGTCTGATCTGATTCGAATTCGACCCGTTTACACCCCTATGTAAATCCTGTTGGACTGGTCTTGTTCATATTGGAACTCAGGCCTGCACAATACTGGTCTGGACATGCAACCAAATTGGGTTAGGGGCTGGATAAGGTTCTTAATTATTGGACTTTTTAGTTAATATTCCTCGACTAATCTGAATGCAGTATGCTTGTAACATCAATTTTATCTCTCAATTATTGTACAAGATTATGAAATTAATTAAGAAAGAAGCAAATAGAGCTGATGTTTGACTAGTTTTTTTCATGGTTTTCAAAACCAGATTGGATTGGACAGTGGGATTGAAAAAATCAGAAACTGATCATCGGTTCCGTTTTACTCCAGAATCGTTTTTATGGCCAAAATCCCTTGATTTGGTCAGTAAACCGTTGATTCAGATGGTCAAACCGTTCAAATACGTCCAGCAGTTTTTGGCCATTTTTTTTTATTTTTTTGTCAGAACGGGCCATCCATTCTATTCAAATGATCAGACCGTTCAACCGGGAACTGGACCCCTGAACGGGGGTTAGGTTTTAAAAACCTTGGGGTTGCAACAAGAGAGTATTTTTACTACTTTCTTTGGATTTCCCGAGCCACATCCAACCCAAATATAGTTACAAAGGCCAAAAAGAGAACACGCCATTGGGTGTAGATGTGCTAGGGCTTAAACTTTTTCTCTGGGTGAAGGAAATTTTCCTCCCTCTCAAAAAAGGAAAAAGAAAGAAAAAGACAGTAAGTAAAAATGTTCCAAGAACAACCAAACATGCATCTACTCAATGCAGTTATTAATGTCGTACTACAGAAGCTGGGCTGTAACAAAATTTAAATCCACTGTTGACGAACACTACCAAATTAATCTTACACAGCCAGACAGTCTGCTTTCTTCTCTCCTTCAGTGTTCAAGCTTTGATCAAATAATTGTAAACACTGTTTGCGAGGACATTACTATAAATGCTTAATTAGCTTATATAATATGTTAATATATACCAAGTGATCTTTGGGGAGCTCCCTTTGTTTTCATGTGGCATGGTTTCTGCACTGTACTTCTAAGTTGTCTCTGAAAGCAATCATTTCAGTTCTTTCACAAATTTTCACAGACATAAAAGCCTTCTGCATCGCCACAAAACAAAACCCAATATAGTTAAAGGACTTTTTGTTCTTTTTTGTTTTTTTGATTGACATCCATCTTGGAACAGAACACAAATGAGGGTGCATTTCTCCTTTGCTTTGTTAGATTTCTATCACTTCCGACATGGCATGTTCTAATTAGCAAAAAGCTTAATCTAGTGCTTATTATTAAACCCTGTAGAATTATGCAAGGTTTTAAAACCGGGATCGGACATAAAACCATTTTGGCGGTTCGAATTAGTGGCCCATTGTGATTTAAACAATACAAAGTTAAAATATAATTCAAATAAAAAATGATCAAAAACCATTTTCCTATTTGACGGGTTGATGATTCATTGTTTGAATTAACGAATTGCTGACCAAGTCAACGGTTTTGGCCAAAAACGGTTTTAGGGTGAAATAGAACCAATTACCTGAATGGTTTTCAGGTAAACCGGTTTGACCATTTGGTCCTGTTCGCTTTTCAAATTTTCAAAACTATGGAATTATGTATAGAATTAGGGCTAGCTGTCAATGGGTTCGGCCTAGCTTCGGTCGGAGTAGACTGGTCCCAACATGGCCAGAAAATACTCGGTCCAGTTTGACCCAAATCCTCTAAGGTCTGGAAGTAACTTCCCAAAACTCTAAGCCTATTAGTGATCATGCCCAATATGACCCAACGGTAACAGAGAAATCTTTTCGCTTGGAAATTTGACAATAAACCTGCTAATTCTCTTGTTTTCTCTCCTCGATATATCTTATATAACCCTACCAAATGACAACTTTAGATGTTTTTGTCTGACATTATTACAAGCAAAAAGCGTAAAAACATAACATATATAAAACTTTGGGGGTATCTAATTTGCATAAACACATGAAAATTGGTTTGGACCGGTCTGTACATAGACCCAAAATTTGAGATCTTGTTTCTTTAATCTTGTAAAATATTCGATGTCTTACCTATGGGTTGCTTTTGTTTTGTTGTTTGAAAAAGTGTGAAAAAAGTATTATTTTACACCTTTGAGATTTGTTTTCTTTGTGAAGGTAAAAGCTTTAAAATTTTACTTCCAACTTCCTTGACAGCTAAATAAACATGAATTTCTTGGCATACACGTCCCTCTTAACATTTGGATCACATGGTGAAAAGCTGGGACTCACGGTCCTAAACCAAGGGCTGACGCGGCTCAACATGGCTCGTGGTAAAGAGAAAGGACTGTATCACCACATGATCTGGACTACTTCTTGATATAGAAGGCTGAAGGCCCAATCAAAATGGGAATGACATGGTTAACAACCAGGTCTACTCCTGAGAGCTAGCTTAGCATGACTGACTCATGGGCCATGGCAAAGAGCAAACAAAGCCAGTCCTGAGGACCATGATGGGCCGGCCGGCCGGCCCAGTGAATGGCCCTGTCAGCTGAATTTCTGGGTATACGAGCACAATGGGAATGCACTCATTGGATCAATGTACACTCTTTACTTTGTCATGTCACCTAAAAAAAACCTAGAAAACCCTCCTTGATCATGATGCAGTTTGGAACATATTCCTGACTACTAGTAATAGAATGAGTGCCCAATGTCGCAGCATTTTGTTGGGTTTTGATCTTTGATGAAAGAAAGCGACGGGTCTTTGATGTATTGCAGCAGCCCATAAATTTTTAAAGTGAAATCTGAAGTGTGCCCAACGATTGGAAGAACGGAGAAGCTTTTGTTAATTTGTTTACTTTTATAACTAACATGTCTGTGCCTGTGGACTGTGGTATCAATTCATAAATAGGTCGACAATTTGATGAACAAATCCTTATGGTAAGGAGCCTACTTGTCGTTTGTGATGGATTTACATGCCACAAGCAATCCACCTCATCTTATTTGTGATGTGTGTGGAAGGATGGGTATCCATCAATCACTAAGCCTGTATTTGATTAAGTTAAAAATGCACAAACTAGTCATTTGTTGCAAATTGCAATATCTCCCCATTCTCAATAAGTCATTTAGATGGGTTCCACTGACAATTCATGGGTCGGTGGGTGGGTATATGCTAATTTTTTTTCTTTAATTTAAAATATTTATTATATCTGTCTGCCATGGCCAAATTATGTGCATATGTTATATTCGACAAAAGGCTAGTCGGCTGGGACAGCTGCCTTGGCCCATTGATTGATTAATTGGAGAAATCTATCAAAGGTTTCAGAGAAAGCAATTATTAATTAACAGGCTAAGTAAAGTAGTTGAAACCGTCAAATCACTTTGATTAATTCTATCTTTGATGCTCCAAGTAGTTTTATAGACTAGTTGCAATTGGTCTTATCTTTTTTCTCCTATTTAAGCTAGATTTATTGCTCAAGATCAAGAGCTAATGGTGCATGGCTTGGTGAGACAGGATGTTCATAATATACTTCCCTTGTTCTAAAAAACATCGTCACTTCCATTCCTTTACATTTGCTAGTTGCTACCTAAAAAACAAAACAAATTAAAGATTTTTCTTTGAGTGAAATTATAATTAAAATCAACAGATAAAAGGAAGTGAAAGGTTGAGAGGAAACCATGGTTCATTTGCTAGCTAGCTATCTCTGTATTCTCAGGTTTCAAGTCTCATCTATCCTCCACTTCTACATTTAAAACACTACAAAACATACAGCTTCATCGATCCGGCCATATATACAAACCCACATCTCATCTTCATTAGGATAAAGCCCATCATCTTCAATCCCATTCACCAATATCCATCCGACGCTTGTTAGCAAACACCATCTTTAGCGTTGCCTGAACTACATCCCTTCTGCTCCAATAATAATAATCAAACTCCTCCATCTCCATGCACGTAGATCGAGCCAGAGTGGTAGCTTATTAATCAAAGAAATTAAAGCTAGCATCGATCGATATCGATCCCCCTACTGGGCTACTGGCTACTTTATATAAGCGCCATGAAGACTGAAAGAAGAGGTAACTCGATGCCGGTCTCCCTACCAGCAAATCATGGCATCTTCAACAACCGTCAAGACTCTCTATCAGGCGCGCTTAAAGGATGCCTCGGCAGCCTAGATGGAGCTTGTATAGAGAAGCTTCTCCTTCACTGTGCAGGTGCCATAGAGAGCGACGATGTGACCCTAGCTCAGCAAGTGATGTGGGTGCTCAACAACGTGGCTTCCTCAGTAGGTGACCCTAATCAAAGGCTTACCTCATGGTTCTTAAGGGCACTTATCTGCAGGGTCTCTAGGATTTGCCCTGCAGCCATGAATTTTCATGGCACAACAACGCTTCAGAGGATTCAGACGAGATCGATGACCGTGACCCAGTTAGCAGGGTACGTCGATCTCATCCCCTGGCACAGGTTTGGTTTTCGTGCATCGAATAGTTGTATCTTCAAGGCAGTGGAGGGGTTCCCAAGAGTTCATATCTTGGATTTTAGCATCACGCATTGCATGCAGTGGCCTACACTCATCGACGCCTTGGCAAAAAGGCCTGAAGGTCCTCCCTCGGTCCGAATCACTGTGCCGTCCTGTAGACCGCCGGTCCCTCCCTTGCTTAATGTGTCGAGCGATGAAGTTGGTCTCCGTTTGGCGAATTTTGCCAAGTCCAGGGACGTCCCCTTTGAATTCCATGTGATTAAGGGCTCGTCTTCATGCATAAATGCTTCTGATGATCATCATGATCATATTTCTTTGGGTGAGTACTCCTCCTCCAACTCCAATTTTCACCTTGAATCGCTCATGGCTCAGCTGAGTCCTTCGATGCTACATCTTAGAGATGACGAGGCCTTGGTCATCAATTGCCAAAATTGGCTACGCTATTTGCCTGTTGATCCTGATGATGACCCACGGAGCGGCGCTGCGCGTTTAAAGCCTTTCCGGAATGCATTTCTAGAGATGATCAAGGGCCTGAACCCTTGCATCGTTACTGTGGTTGACGAGGACTTGGATTTGGATGTTTCAAGCAGCCTCATGTCAAGGATTACTACGGCCTTCAATTATCTATGGATACCGTTCGATGCCCTTGAGACTTTGCCCAAGGACAACCCACAGAGAATGGAATATGAGGCTGATATTGGTCATAAGATTGAGAACATCCTGTGTTTTGAAGGGTTGCAAAGGATAGAGAGGTTAGAATCTGGTGTCAAGTTGTCACAACGTATGAAGAATGCGAATTTTATCAGTGTGCCGTTCTGTGAAGACACTGTAAAAGAAGTCAAGTTTTTACTAGATGAACACGCTAGCGGTTGGGGAATGAAGAGGGAAGGAGATATGCTGGTTCTCACATGGAAGGGCCACAGCTCAGTCTTTGCTTCGGCTTGGGTTCCAAGTGGCCAGATTTGAGGACTAAAAGTAAAAGGGCTTGATCATCTGCAGGAGAGGCTGCACTAGTATGTCTTTTAATTTAAGATAGATCGTCTTGCTTGCTTTAATTAATTTTGTGGTCCAATGAAAGAGCTTTGACGACAAAATTGATGAGTGTGTTGTGTTTCTCCTTTGTCAGAGGGCTGCAGAATGGACACAAGACCAAAAAAAAACAGAAGAGCAGGATTATCACTAGCAAAAGTTTCATGCTACGTTTTGTTCTCACCTTTAGCTTGTTTACATGAAAGGAAAAAGAGAGAAATGTACATATTGTCTTTGAGTGAGACAAACCTATCCATTCTGTTGTGCCTCTTTGCAGGCTCATGACTAGTCATCCAAGGTAAGTAAGTCAGTAAGTGCTTGTTTTTGCGTTTACTCTTGATTTTTCCATTCGTTAACGAGCCAAAGCTTTTCTTTATTGCTTAGCTAGCTATCAGTCTATCACCATTACCAATCAGGCTTTGATCTTAACCGGCCAGTTAATTGGAGCTTTAATCAATTACTTTGTGTTTTCTATACGCCAAACCTTTGGTAGTTAGCGGGTTGGTCAGTGTCCCTGTTAGAAGGGACGACCCTGCAACGTAATTCTCCCCAACTCGCATATTTGTTAGAAAGTAAATGAACTTTATGTATTAGGTCTTGAATTTAACAATACTTAAAATTTTACATGAAGGTCTGTCTCTTTTTATCTGCCTTATTAAATGATCGGAAATTTTGTTGTTTATTTGAATTATTTTACTTATTATTTATATATGACAAGAAATAATAGGAAACTAAATTAGATGAAGGTTCTAAATTCAACCGGCCCCTATCCTTGAATGCGGGGAGAGTAGGGTTTGGATTCTCAAAATCCAACCTGCTATAGGTTTTGAGGCAGGTATGGGTTGAGGAGCTTAAGGAGGTGGGTAGGGTCTAGAATTTACAAAGCCCTCCCTCGAATTTGCTCCATTGCCATCCCTAACCATAATCTCAATTCTCAACTTAGCAGGTCATCTTAGTGGACAACGACATGTATCTCAGTATATATATTTTCTTTTTCATTTTAAAATTGTTACTTTTTTAAGGAAACCTAGGTAATTAATGGCAACAAACAAGAATGTTGGAAAAGAATTATAAAAACATATTAAAATACAAAGGTTTCCCTCTCATTAATTTCATGAGTGAATAAAGGCCAAAAAACTTCAGTCCAGTTTGGTAAGTCTTTTTAGAAAAAATTTCTAGCAGTTTAGATGGTCAAAAGATATATTGAACTTTTGGGGTATTGTCTCTCAATCTACTGAACTTTTAAAAATGCATTTAGAGGCTATTTATCATGTGAAAAGACAAGGAAGCTTTAATTGAAGCTTCCTGAAATTTGACATTTTTTTTTATCTTTTTGGGTCTTACCACATGCACCTGTCTTCTAGTCTTACCAATTTTTGGTTACCAAAAAAAATACGAATTTTCAATCTTTCGGTCTTACCAAAACCTAAAAGACTGCATGGAAAAACTTACCAAACACCGTTGATTAATTAGTTGATTTTACAATAGGAAATATATTTTGGATGCCACTAACAATTTAAATTCACTATAAGTTTTTGTTTTTGATTTTTGAGAAACTCATTACAAATTTGAATTCTCCTTGTTAGCTAACTATATGCCTTGCAATGAGATATAGGCTCAGTTTGGAAGGAATACAAATGTAAGTATGTAGAGTGCAAAACCTTATATTTTGTATTATTTTGTATGTATTTGTACTGTACATATTTGTATTTATACTTGATATAGGCGCATATGGTAGGGCCCAGGATTGCTCCACGTGGCATCAACCGAGCTAGATCTTGGCTGTCCATTCCCAACAAGCTCCAACCACTCCAAGGCAAGGTCAAGTATAAATAGGGGTGCTCAGCTCCGGGTAAAGGCACTTTGCTCTTTATTGCTCTCTAGCTTTCTTGCTCTCGAGTGACCTTGTTTGATCCCTCGTCTCAAGCTTGGTCCGACCCCTTTGAGGCGCTTGACTAACTTGATCGTTGGAGTCTCTGCCCCTGGGATAATACCTGGGGCCTTTGATATACTCTCTTATTCTCAGACTGGACACATTGGCCTCGGCTAAGGAAGCAGATTTACCTTGTTGCCCTTGACCCCATCCTTGGCAGCAACAACTGGCGCCGTTTGTGGGAAACACTCTTAAGACTTTCCTAAGTGAATACATAACTCAAATCAATTAAGCTTCTGAAAAATGGCTGATAACCAAGACAATAATTAAAATGCTTAGAACATGGTTACCATGGACCAATTCAGAATGGTCCTCGACAGACTAGACAATATAACTCAGATATTGGACGAGGTGGGGTGCCTAAAAGGAGGCCGCTCACAAGGTGGCCACCTCGTCAGGAGCCAGGGGTAGTTCAATGGGTGCTCTGCTCAGGCGCCAATAGTCCAGCGTCCCCTCAGCCCATGCAAGGCCGACCCCTCAACGTCCAATAGTAGTAGCCATCAGGTGAGTAAACCCCTAGTAAAGACATTGTGCCTCCCTAGCCGAAGGGGAGATGATCTAGCTGGGTCTCGCAACAACCGTCCGAATCGTGATCACTACCAATGCCTAGAGAGCCAATGAGACAAAGGCGGGCACTCTGGTCACTACAATCCTCCTCTGAGGGTTGGAGGCTGACGCCACGCCTCTCCATCACCAATATTAGACCTTTGCGATCTCCTTAATGATTGCCAAGCCCAAAAAGCCCAAGACGTACCAGCGTTTGAGAACTCTAGGAAATGGGCTGACCCATTTCATGTCAAAGAAGACTAGGGCGATGCCCAGGCCCCCAATGATCGGCATCAAGGCGACCTATAGGCACAGATTGGCACCATTGAAGATGAAATCCGACAGGTGAAGGAGGGCCGAGGTGATGCCTCTACTAGTTATAACCCCTCATTTACTAGGATGGACGCATTTACTGATTCCACCACCTTGGAGCCGCTCCCACCTCATTTCAAGGCTTCCACCTTGGAGACATACGATGGAACCACGAACCTAGACGACCACTTGGGGAGCTTTTGGGTAATGCTACTCTACGGGTACTCCGACGCCCTGACGTGCTGAGCTTTCCAATCCACTTTCAAGGGAGGACTGCGTAGATGGTTGTCCTCGGTCCATCAACTCGTGGGAGCAATTTTCCTACCTCTTCCTCTCCCATTTCGTCAACAGCCGATGGTGCCAGAAGACCGTTGTCTCACTTATGTTGATCAATCAGAAGCGTGGAGAGAGCCTCCTAACCTACATCGACCATTTTAAGAAGGAAGAGCTCAAAGTTTGAGACCTCGACCCCTTAGTATCCATGTACGCCGCAATTAAAGGCCTTAGGCCCAGCCTCCTCAAGTGGTCCATCTCCAAGACACCACCCAAGAACAAGGTGGAATTCCTGAAGAAAACATAGAAGTACATCTTCACTAAGGAGGTTGAGGCCAGTGAGCTTCTCTAAGAACCCGAGGCCGACACTAGTCGAGGAGCCTTGGAAAAGAAGAGAAAGGACAGACACGACCGCTGTCATGGCCACAACAACAGTAACGAGGACACCAACAAGAAGCCGTCGGCCCCTTCCTTTAGCAAATACACGCCACTCAACTCCACCCGAACGCATATCCTCATGCAAGTAGGGAAGGAAGACTATATGAAGTGGTCAACCAAGATTAAGAGGAATCCTAAGAGGGAAAACCCAAAGAAGTACTCACGACACTGAGGGCTGCTACAAACTCAATGATGAGATCAAATCCCTCATCCTCTGTGGCTACCTAAAAGATTACATCGAGGGCGACATCGCTACCTCGCCCTTACAGTAGTAGCGACAGACTGGGCCCCAGGCTCATCACCCTCTAGCTGGAGTAATTGGTGTCATCATTGGGGCTCGACATACTTGGAAGTCGTATGCCAAGTAGTTCAATATCCAAAACCAAGTGCCTAAAAAACCGAGACCAGAAGACACCATCACCTTCACTGACGATGACTTACACGTAGTCTCACTGCCCCATGACGATGCGTTGGTAATACCTATCATCATCGCCAACTATGTGGTAAAGAGAAACCTCGTAGACAGTGGCTCCTCAGCTGATATCCTATTCTGCGATGCCTACAAGAAGATACAACTGACACCAGATCAGCTCCAACTTGATGACATGCTACAAGTTGGATTCTCTGAGGTAGTCACCAAGTCCGAGGGGAAGATATCCCTACCCGTCACTATAGGGGTAGAGCCTCGACAAGTTACAAGAATGACCGAGGTCTTGGTCGTGAAGAAAGACTCCTTATATAACGAAATCATAGGGAGGCCGACCCTTCATGCACTTAAGGCGGCCATCTCATCCTATCACCTTGTCATGAAGTTCCCCACCGAACATAGCATTGGAGTGGCTAGGGGAGACCAGCAACTTGCTAGGCAGTGCTACGACACAACGCTAGGGAGCAGGAACTGAGAAGCCTTTCTGCATACTCACTGCTCGAAGACACCTAAGGCCATACTCTCGACCAGGCCCCTAAAGGAGATGAGAAGCCTTGGCCCTCCAACATTTTTCTCGTGAATAGAAGACCTATGCCTTGCACCGGGAGCTCTAATACATCCGGATGTATGATCTATCATTTAAATAAGTCTAGTGGATTTTTTGTGAATAAATTGTGAAAGTTCCTCTCACCTTGGCTCAAATCTTTGGTGTATACATTCTCGTCTCGGATGAACGACCGGCTGCAGCATACAACCTTCACTAAGGTTATATGCTCGGAATGGTCGTCGGCCCAAGGCACACGACTTGTGTAAGGTCGTATGCCTAGACGCCAAGACACCTCGGATGAGCAACCAGCCGCACCACATAACCTTCACCAAGGTTATATGCTTGAACTGGATGTCGGCCCAAGGTACACGATCCTCAAAAGGGTCACATGCTTAGTTACCTTACTTTAGCTAAGGCAAAAGCTCACGGGACCTCAGTCATAGTTAATGAGTGGCCTTTAACATTGGCCTTGGACCCAAAGACTCTCCATGGGAGCGAGTCTTCATGTAAGCCGAAGAGCTGACATTAGCCATCTGTTTAACACAAAACGCGACGAACAAACACACCAAAAAAATAGCGCTACTTCGTTAAGGAAAAAAACACTTTGTGACCTCGGCCTAACTACCATGACAATTATGAAGAGTAAGCCAGGCAAGCTAAGGCAATTTTCTCCCTTTCCCTCTCTTTAAGAAAAGGACCCTGAGCCCTTGGTGGCAAAGCTCAACAAGAAAGAAAAGACAAGAAAAGAAGAAAATGCACATGATAGACAAAAAAAACCCAGTATGTTTTCATTTCATTTGCACTGTGTGAAGCTTTACAAAAAGTCGACCTCAGTTGGGGGAGGTCAATCGCCTTAC